GGTGAAAAAATAATAAGGAAAATAAATTATGACAACATACTTTTTTAAAAACAAAACATGACATAAAAAAGAGTAAACTGTGCTATTCACTTAGAAGTTTTTCCGGAAAAGTTCCGCTTATACTATATTTAATTATTATGTCTCATGTGTGTATGCATGTTTTTCATGAATACTACGTGTATTATGTAAAAGCAAAGATAGTGAATAAAAAGATGGGCCACTCAGCCAAAAAAGTGTCCGCAGGAAGTATGCTCTTTGCTTCAGATGGCGCTGCAGTCTGTTTTGAAGCTCTCTTTCGTTTTTCCAGAAGAAGAATAGGAATAGCACCTCCTTGCGTGCGCAGATCGACTGCTGTTCATCAGCAGTTCGGGTACGTTCAGTGCGGAGTTTTACTAGTTTTAGTTTTTAAAATTTTTTAATGACCTCTCGCCTTTCATTCTAAAGTCAAATTAAACAAAGAAAACCATCACCCTTTCCTCCGGAAGAGGTTTTTTGTCAGCGTAACCATTTTAAAAAAGCGTTCTTCCGAAATTTATCCCCAAACTTGCTAGTTTCACCTTGAATTTTTAAAACTCAAGTAGGGTAACTCTGTTCGCAAAGAGTGCGCTTTTGTGAAGAGGGCGCCACCAAATTTTGAGGACACTTTTTTAATTGGCTCAAAGAGAGAAGTGGCCCATCTTGTTATGTACTATCATTGATGCAATAAACGTGAGTTCGATCCCGATGTGAGTCTTTTTAATCGAGTATCTCCGTCTTTCTTATAGGATACTGTATTCCATTCCACTCCTCTTGGCTTGGCCTTGGCGGATAGAAATTTTGCTCTTCATGATAAAAGTTATGTTGAACTGGATAAATAGCTTTCACAATTTTTATTTGTCTTTTGTTGTTGTTTGTTTGTTTGTTTGTATATGTCTGTGCGTGTGTACGTGTGTACGTGTGTACGTGTGTGTGTATGTATGTGTGTGTATGTATGTGTGTGCGTGTGTGCGTGTGTGTGTGCGCGCGCGCGCGCGCGCGCGTGTGTGTGTGTGTGTGTGTGTGTGTGTGTGTGTGTGTGTGTGTGTGAGGAGTTCAGGAGGGGATGGGAGAGAGGTATGGGAATAAACCTTCCTGTGAATGAATGAATAAAAGTCCTTCTCTGTTATGAAATGACCTATTTTCCTGACACCTTGCCGTTTTCCCCACTTAGACTCACCTGGTCCTGGACTTCCCATGTCACGTGATCCCTCCGTCGACACAGATTCCGACCTCGGGTAAGCTTTCACTGGAGACTGCAATCTTTTTAATATTATTATGTTTCTCTTACGCCAAAGACAATAAATAACATGCCAGTTTCTCAGGGTTCTCTTGACTTCCTCTTCTTTTATAGCCTGAGTGCTTGATGGTGTTAAATATGCCCTCGAAGCTGGCTGACGAGGTGATATTCGTAACAGGTAGCCATCCAAACCATTCTAGACTCTGATTTTTTAAAATGTAATGCAGGCAACGCTCCCAGCTAATTATATGTTCTCTTACATCTACATTTCTCTGCCGGTCTTTTCTGGTACCGTAACGGTATTGCGGAGAAACGGTCCATATTTTGAACCTGTTTCCTCTCTTTTTTCTATTCCTAGTGCACGAGCTTCGTCCCGGAGACATCAAAATAGTGGCAGGTCTTGGTGATTCCATTACGGTAATGTTTAAAAAAGAAATTAAAATGTTTTTTTTTGTTCTCTAAGAGTAGCAGTACACGTAGACATAAACACAGACACACAGACACACACATACGCACACACACACACACACACACACACACACACACACACACACACACACACATACACACACATGCGCACACACTCATACATACGAGTATTTTCACTCTGCCCCCCCCCCCCAACAAAACAACAACAAACAAAAAACAAAAGACAAAAACAAGCGGACTTAAACAAACGCTCTCTCTCTCTCTCTCTCTCTCTCTCTCTCTCTCTCTCCCCCGTGTAGTATAATATGCTGGAAAATACGAAAATGGGAATCGTGGTTGGGATTTTTAACAAGGGCTTAAAAATTGAATCCACCATCGGATGGAGTTCAAAAATCTAAAAACACAACACTATATAAGATTTGTGCCCTTGAAAC